TGGAGAGGGGAGCAGGAGAGAACTCAGAGTAGGTTGGAGATTGTAAAGTCTCCTTGTAAGTATTCACTCACAGAGGCAGGGTGTGTCCTGTGGGGTTTACAGCACTAGGAGTCAAAGTTCACTGAGCTGTGGTGTCAGTACAGTTGCAGTAGCAAAGGCCCTGTTCTGGCCCATTTTCTGCCCTGTTCTGGTTCTGTTTCAACCCAGTTCTTGGTCTTTGTCAACCCTGCTCTGGCCTCGTTCTGGTCGGGTTTCAGGCCTTTTCTGGCACACTTTCAGAGCTGGTCTGGACCTTGATTGCTAATGATGCTAAGACTGCAAAGGCTACTAATGCTATTAGTACTTCAAATGCTATTAATGCTATTACGGCTATTAATGCTGTTAATGCTACTAATGCTAATAATGCTGCTAAGGTTATTAATGCTGTTAATGTTACTAATGCTAATAATGCTGCTAAGGATATTAATGCTTTTAATGATGCAAATGCAGCATATTCACTTTGTTTATCTTCAGGTTCTAGTTCTGCTGCATTTTCTAGGATAAAAATTATGTTTAATTCCTTAGAGGTTTGTTCCTATGTATGCAGAAGGAGTAAAGAAACAAACCTCTGTTGTTTGTAACTGGATGCCTAAAGTCTCTGTAGAGCTTTTAGTGTTTGGCTGTTTTGGGCTCAGGGTGCTGAGGGGTTACAAACCATCAAAGTCTTTACGTGAACAGAATCTGAGGAAAAACCCCTGAATACTGCACCGATTTCCTGCTTTTAATGGGAATAAAAGTTCTTACTTCTTGCTGGTCTCAGGTGAAAAATCTCATCTCCTGCCATCATCCCTTTCAGGTTAAACTCCAAAACCACAAAAAGGCTTTTAACTGCTACTTTCTTTCAAAAGAGTAAAAACATGAGACCAAAAATAAAAGAAAATGCATAAAAACATCCACACTGATGACACAAGCATCTCACATCTTTAATAAATACACAAACATCATGGTTTTAATTTTCACTACAGCAGTTGGACATTTTCCTCTAAATTCTGTGATGTGGAGCCTCTATTGTAACTATAAATGAATAAATAAATCACCCTCTGAACCTTTTACATGCACTGACGTCATGTAGATTGCTGTCACAGTATAAAGAGTGTAGAAGAAAGAATAGTAAATTCACACATGACAAATGACCGATAAAATCACAAAAGAAATACATACATTTTCCACACCTGTCTGGAAAGAAAGGCCTAAGCAAGGCTTCCCGTCTGATTTTAACCAACAACCTCCCAGATGTGATCAGTTCCTTAAATAATGTGATTTTTACACCCTTTTCCTCCTTGAACGGTGCATTTAAGTGCTAGTAGACAGCTGGGACATCTGTTTTTAGTGATTTCCTTCCTCCTGTTAGCCAAGTCAGTACAGATGTATTTCTATGGAAATAGATATGTTTACCACCCTTAGCTCTGATATCTTTTAGCGTCTCTCCTTTATTAGGGGGCCACTGTCTGCAGCAGGCCCACCTATTACTATTTTGCATATTTATTCCGTGACTTATAGTTCTCCCATTTATGACCGAATTTCAGCTCGTAACAAGTCCCGCACGGTTTGATGGATTGGGCCCAAAAAAGACACGCATGTCTGAACTGACAACGGAACCTATGCTTGAATTTCTCTTTCTCATTGGTCCCAGCGTTTTTTTAATAAATGCCATACCATAGGAAATGAATGGGAAGGCCAAAAAACGGGCCGAGACGGTGGCCGCTTCTGGGCCTAATCGCTCTGGCCGAAGACCTTCGACAAACCATGTTCGAGCATTAAACAGGTCACGAAAGACAGGCCTTTTACATATCGGAGCCACAAGGCCTGATCTCACACCGTTTGGCCGTAATCGCTGTTGACGTTTTAGCAAAAATCGTTAAAAATCCCCAAATCTGCCCTCCACTCTGGTGACATCATCACAGGCTGTAACTTTCCTGTGGGGATATTTACAAAAAAAAGGTCAAACTCCCGCCTCTCACGACCAAACTGTAGGGCCGAGTGGGACCACAAACGCCTCAAAACGTTGCCACGGGTGTCCTCTTTTGGCTGATGTGCCCACTTTTGACCTCGGACATACGGTTTTCTCGCAATTGGGCCCAGAGTCCAGACTGTCCCAACGGGCTCCCATTGAGATACAATGGAGAAATACAGAGAAAATTTCGTCAACTGCCAAAACGGACCTCATTTTGAAACTGCTGTAAAAAACAGACTGTTGGGGGCAGCCAAAAAATGAAAACACTGGGTAGGCCCTACGTCCTTCGTGGCGATCACGGTTTGAGAATTTTTCAGATATCTCTTTTAGTTTTGGAACGGTGGGCAGGAGTTTGGGAGGTTTCTATGAAACTTAACTGTTGAAGAACCACTTATTTGTTCAGATTGGAGTTGTAACCTGATGGAAGGAACTTGTCAGCCTGACAGTTTCAGCCCTCCTGGTATTTATTTTGTGTTCTGTCATCAGTTTATCTGATTCTCAAATTAGTTTATGAAGAAAATTTCAGCTTTTTGTGGCAAAAACAACAAGTTTTCATTTTTTTTTTGTCAAATGAGCTCATATTTTTAGAGGGATTCTCTATAGAATTTATCAAAGAGACACTTTAAGGTGTTTTAAAGCCTTTTATTGTCCTCTCAGGGCTGTTTGACTGAACAGAAAGTCTAAATCTGCTGGAACAGAACTCATTTAGTGGAAACCAGAGCTGATTCTGGAGGAGAAAAAAGCAGGAATTAGTTTAAAATCTGAGTAGATAGATAGATAGATAGATAGATAGATAGA